CCTCGTAAGTTTTTTTCATGGATGATTCACTACCAGCCGACACGTGTTAATAGGGCTTGGGGTGATGAAGAGGTCAGGACGAAACAGAACATGGACAGTCATGTCACACATCCCATACTTTCGTATTATTTACTCTTCAAGTTGACTTTTAAAACCTTAGAGAAGCTTAGCTCAGGCAAGGTGAGGGGAAGGGAGTGGCAGAAGCTTGACTTTGAGAGCGGACATGTATAGAGTCCATTTTCGCACGATTTGTCGTCTATCTAGTGTGATTACAGGCTCACCATCACTCGAGCTTCACACCATACGCTATTCTGCGTAATCACATTATCCAGATACAGCTCAAGCGGCTACCAGCTTCAGCCACAGCGTTGCGGTTCGAGACCCGTTGTCTTTCGTAGTTTCACGGCAACCCCTGCTGTGGCGCTTACTGGAACGCTGTTGCAGTGTTCTGCTGGATGGCAGACTCGCGCATTATGGCTATCAGACCCAGAGCATCACGTTGCCATAACCGGTTGTTCCAACTGTCAGCATTCATGAATAAACGATATACTCAGGTATTGCTTGGCGTGTTAGGCATCATTTTAGTGTGCTCTCTGTTGTTTCTGCTCGATCTATTACAATACGTGTATTACGAGCGGGGGCCTAGAGAGACTTACCATATCCCACACCAGATAGTCGTCCCAATGAACTGATGACTCCCCAGCCTTGTCCCTTGCACCGTTGAGCATAGACGGCAAGCGGCACACGAACCTATGTATGTTAGGTGTGAGAAAAACGTGGTCTATAGGCGAGTGATGAGAGTAATATATCTTAAGCGAAACTTTAACAGGCTTCCTGGAACTGACTTTTTTTTTTTTTTTTTTTTTGCAGTGAACTGATAGCCAGATTCTGGTCAGCTCCCTAAACCTTGACCCTTGTGGATGCTTTGTTCATTTTAATACTCTACAACTGTATTATCCTGTCATGTTTTGTAACGTAAAGATGGCCCCAAAGAGGCTAGGTTAGCTCACAGCGACTTGAGCATAACGCGGTCGCTTACTTACAATCCTTTCTTTCATCAGGAAACTCTGTAAATGACCTAACCTTGTTCCCTATCTCAGAGGCTGTTTGATCCAGACTAAAGCCATAAAGTGGGTCTCTTGTACAGTAATCAGTGAAGCCATAGTTATCTAATGAATCGGCCCTCAAACATTCCACTCTGGTGTCAATTTCATTGGCCAATAAATTAAAATTTTAAACTGTTAAAGTGCCACTTCCTGTGAATTTAAATGCCTAATGTAAATTAAATTTTCATTTTTTGCAATGACAAGTATTCTCAAATTTTACATGGATTTGTTTGACAGTAATTATGGACGTTTTCACAATGAAATAAACAAACTAATTTCACAGATGACTAATTACACTTCTATAACTATTTAATATTCAGAATAAAATAAATCAACTACACTCTTCTGTAAATTTAAGCCTGGTTATTTGTATTATAGCAGTGTCCACATGTATTTAAAGGCGGTTGCATTGTTTTTGTGTAAAATAATTACAGAAATGACTTTACAAGGATTTTATTTTTTGCCTCCCCAGCTGCTGGAATATTTCTTTCCTTTATACAGTGGAGTCAGTGACACAATGGCAATATGCAAGCCAGGGCAAAAACATACATTAAAACACAACAAATCTATTATAATTTAATGTGTATTCATTTTGTCTAACATTTATCCCACAAATATTTCAAAACTTAATTCTGTCCAAAAAGACTCATGTCCACTTTAAAATCAGTGTAAAACACACTGGTTTTACACATACTAATCAAACTTACAACAATGGATTGACACTAGAATTATCTCCCATCATCAGTGATGTGAAATGAATGCAGCTTGAGGATAAATACTGTGTTCATCTTCAGTCTCTACTGATCAGCCGTTGCTGTGTGACGGCAGTCGCGCTGAGCTGAATGACTTCAGAGAGCGAATGTAAACAGGCTGCAACACAATCCTAGCCTTCTTCTCCTGGAGATGAAAGTGGAGTTAGGAACAGCTCTTAAGGCCTGTTGTGTTTGTTGTCTGATTTGCTCCCTGACCTTGGACCCCCTCCACCGGGGCTGCCGATGTGGCTGCAGCCACACTTCGACGAGTGGAACAAAAGCTTCAAACGGCGAGAGACACGGAAAGAAAGTCCCTGCTGAAGATCTGTGGGAGTTAATTTCACTGTGTCTGTTCTTCACATCTCCCCCTGATTAATAATTACCACAGACAGCAGCAGCAGATGACTGGAAAACTAGTCTCTAAATTTCAAGATCTTCAAGGATGTGTGGGAAACCTGAGGTTATCCAAAAGTTAGTTTTATTTTGGGAAATTTAGATTCTTTTATCGTAAGTTAGGATAGAAACATTGATTAGGAAGTGTTCTTCTGCAATGGCTTTTGACTCTAATCACCATGGTTACCAACTGGTTAAGATCTGGAAGTTAGGACGTTCTGTAATACGGCCCCAGATCAATAAAATCTGCTGCTGCCTGTGGTTATGAGTTGAGAAGACATTGTGCTGAAACAGTGCCCTTAGTGATTACTGTACATAATAGCACAACTTTACAACCTTTATTCCAGTGAAACTGTAATCAGATTCTATATTTCTGGTTTTCATGCTGATTTATAGTTTCCTGATGAACTACGAGGGTAGTTCCTATCTTTATAGAGTGGTCTTTTAGTTTGAGAACATTGGTCACATTTTTAATGCTTTTCCTCAAAACTCCTGCCCTTGCACTCAAACAGACCCTGCTTATGCACAGATTTTCCTGCTATTGGATTTTTTGTGGAATGACCATCTAAATCCACCAAACAGGAAGCCAGCCTCATTGCAGGCACATTTTTGAAGCATCTCATGGGCAGTTACTTGGAGTTCACACACACACTACTGCCCTCCATTGTTTCATTATCTGTACTGCTCTTGCTTTGCATGGATTTTTGAATAAAGGGACTTGCAGCACCTGTAGTTTTTGCTAGCATAACTACAGACTGCATAATAGCCATACAGCACAGCAGCATCCCATTGTGTGTCAGACAGGAAAACGTCACTTTCGGGACCGAAGCGTATTCAGTTCACTAAATCCAGCTCTGTGTTAGCCTAACACCCATCCTGTTTCCAGCTTCCAGCCAGCAGGCCCATCCTAACTTACTTTAGCACTAGTTAACAATCAATTGCCCTTAAATTGGAGGGCAGACACCCCACTAGCAGAGCCATGCCTATGTTTTTAGAGGCTATGGTCAGGTAACTTAACTAGACAACAAAATCCAAGTCAGTTTTTAGAGTTGGGATCCCTTATTTTAAAAGCAACCATTAACTGCACTCCTTAAGAGTAAAATAAGGGGAAAAAAAAAAAAATATATATATATATTGTTATAGATTTTATTAATTGAAAACATCCACAAGGTTCAGGGTTTCAGGAGGTGGATTCTTGCTTGGTGCTTTGGCAGCCTCCAAGGGAAAGGCTGGTGGGTCATAGTCTAGGGAGTACTTTGTGTGGGAAAAGTCTTCTCTTGCTCGCCGATAGCCATTCCAGGACTGGATGACGGTTGGTGGAGGAGGCAAATCAGATGGACTGCTCCCGCTCTGCAGCATCTCCTGGTTATCAGTTTCCCAGACACTAAAGTCTGGAAAACCACGGGAAGGCATCCAGTTGCTCAGGTAGTAGAATGAGGCATCGGCTCCGCCAGGAAAGCCTGGAGCAGCGGGGTTTTCATAGGCGTATGGATCAGGTCTGTAAGAGGGGTAGGCTGCACGGCAGCGTAAGGACCAGGTCCAGCACCATAGACAGGGCTGGATGCTGCCACATTAGAGGTTTCCACCGCGCGCCAGTGGCAGGCTGGTACTGCACAGGAAAGCTAGGAGTCTTACTCCAGCCAGGAGC